CTAAATAGGCTCCTGGAAATGCTTTGCCTTTGTTGTACAGCTGAAAGTGGGATATCTGCTAGATCACTTTCTGAAGGTAAGTTTCCTCCCAAGTTCTGTTAGTTAGAAGACATGATAAATCCTTTTTTTTCGCGCTACAGTCCCGATGCTGCTCTAAGCTTTAAAATTTGGCAACAACTACTAGACACTCCCGACTTTTGATGTCGTTTTTGCTTGCCTTTCCCGTCATTGCTTTTTCTATCTTTTGAGAGACCGGCGGTTCGCTCCGATGCCCAGTAGACTACTCCGTCTGGTGAATACGAACCTCAACTGGCCCCCTGCTTGGATATGTAACCACTACCTATCTACTAATTAGTTAAATCAGCCATTAAGTTATGTTACCTTTTTTTCATCATGCACACATCTCACTTCTGCACTCTCATATGATGATCTGCCCATGATGCTAAATCGCAAGAACTCCAGCAATCTCCCCCCATATTCAAAATGGTGTTTCTCGTCCTAATATTATTGGTACATCACTTACGTTGTAAGATAACCCAAGCTGACTGAGTTTTATGAATAGCAAAAATGAGACTCCAGTGAATTCAAGACCCTCGAGACTTAAATCCATTAAATCTTTGAAACAGATTGTTGTAGTTCATACGGCAATGAAAAATGGGGTATTACTAATGCTCTATTATAGTAAATAAGCAGGACAAAGGTATTCGGTGATCATGTGGTTACAGTATACCTTTGGGCGCTAGAGACTGAAAAATGAAAACACAAAATATTTAAACATCAAAAAATATAAATACTTAATGACTATGATTGGAGTTTGATTTCGGTTGAGGATGCTGCGCATCAAAAATGTCTTGTCACACAAGTTGCACGCTGCGGGAGAGCACTAGGTGATCAGCCGCCACTTCGTGCATACAAAAGGCGTAGCTATGCCAACTTCTTGATGGGTAGCACAAAACAAATCGAGAATTAGAGAAAATATAAGTAATTTGGCTTTAGGTCAGATGCTTGCCTACCGGTGATCTCCTGGGTGGAGCTGTCAGGCGATAACTTTTACTTCGCGACAAACCCTGCGAAGATGATGACCTCCATGAATGGCTTTGTTTTGCCTTGTATACAATGAGAGGTAAAGGCCAATGAACTTGGGTTGATGTGTAAGAAATCTTTATCTTATCAAACCGTGTTTCCGGTAGATAGTGCCGCACAATATTTAGAGAAGAGACAACTTGCACCATCTATATAAGCAGTGAGTAGAAAACTACTCCTCATTCTAGGAAATGCAGGAGGCATTATTGTATCAGGATTCAGGCTTGCAATAATGTCTGGTTAGTGCTCTCAACCAACATTCTCCATATGTTATGAAACTGCATAGGTTTATTAGAACATGACCTACTGAAATTGGGTCAGGTCGGTTTGTTCTGGTTCTGCGTGCCGGTGGAATTGGTGATTTAGCTTTTGTTATTGGCGTTAGCGAAGGTTGGCAGTTGGTCAGCAATTTCAATTTGGTGCAAGGCGTAGATAAGCCTAGAGATGAATACAGTCCTATACATTATAAGTGTGATTGATAGGAAGCCTGAACTAATTATTCCAACTTTTAATAATTTTTTTACTCTATGAATCATGTCTGGCTTGATTATGACACGTTTGGCAAATGTATGTTATGCGTTAAAATATATGCGAACATACATCTTTACGCTTATCTCACAATTGAGGAAATCTAAACAAACAATCTGTATATCACATAGAAGACATGCAAAATAAACATTTCATCATTCCTCACTCGATAAAGCATCGGAGTGGGTCATTTGCGAAGGGCTGCGCCCTACCTCCGAGCACCACTCTTGCAGGTGTTGCACACCAAAGGCACTGGAACTGTAGTGGATTCCACTGTTGGAACTCTTAGATAAGGGCCCCTGTAAACCCTGCTGCCCCAAATAGAGTTGGTTTTGACTTTTGGCCGAAGCTAAAACAAATTTCAGTGAAGATTTTAAATAGTCCCTCAAAAGCAAATAAGAGAACAATATTTTTATCTCATCAAATAACGCAGAATGGGTCCATTTGAAAGGCCATTTCTGGATACAGATGCGTAGACATTGGGTTCGAAAGTTCGAAAACTACACAAATTTCGATAGATCTCAACTTACATAAGGACTTGATGTCGACATTTGACGCTGAAGGTCGCAAAAATGGACTGACACTTCGTTCAATTTGGAGTTCTCGCCTTGGACTTGGATGCACTGCAATAATTTCAGGCTAAAATGCACATCCAGAATTACAAATATGAGATGAGCGACTCCTTCAACGATGTCACAATATTATCGATGTCCAAAACTGGACGGTGGCAACCCGAATTGACAAGTGTAAAAAGGGGCACTGCATCTTCCTTTGTTGTTTGCGATTGCTAAGAATTGGATGTGCAAGATGACAAGTTGACATGTTAAAATAACCACTTAACACGCAGAGTTTCACTTACAACATTCAACTGGGAAAAATATCCTTTCTTTTGAGGACTAACTGGAACTAAAAAGAAAAGTATAATGTAAAAAACGATTTTACTAGTAAATTTCAGTGCCTTGCACTTGATTTACCGTTTTTCGATAGCGATGACCGACTGGGAGGCGTAGATCGCAACGATGCTTCCGGAACGACGCTTAGACGCGACATTCGTCTGCTTGTGGGATGCAAAGAGGGTTGTGGTGCGATGGAGGGCGGCTGTAATAGGTAGTGAAGCCACCAAGTGAAAGACACGATCGCAATAATATACTCCTAAATACAACAATCTCAATGTTGCACCACTTACAAGTTGAAGCTGGGGAAATGACTTCGAAAGTGGGAGCAACGCTGACCCTAAAATGTTGTTGCTTCGACTCAGTGAAAAAGTACGAAGGAGGCACGCAGAATGCAAGAGAGCTAGGTGTTCTACCACCTATCGTCTTCAATAAGTGTACATTTCGCCGAAATCCTGGTTTGTCGTAGAAAACAGTGTTTCAAACAGGCATAGACTAGAAGAACGACGAATCTCACTGAGATATAGCCTTAAAACTAAATTACTACTTCTTTCATCCATCAGCATTTAATGCACTAACTGCTCACCTTTTCACGTAATTAATGCAGCCACTAGACTATTCCAGATTGCCAAAAATCAGCGGCGAATCGACTTTGCAGTGGAGAACATACTGACTACAATCATAAGTATTTAAACAAAGTCCTCTAGCATTAACCAACAAGTGGAGGCAGACAGAAGTAAATATAGTAGCGCAAGAGCCAAGATTTCCATGGAATTAAGCATTTGCGCAAATACTCCTTTCTAAGATCTACAAGATATGTATCAGTTCTACCATAGGTTGAAATTGGAAGGATACGTGGCATACGAAAGCTGAGACTAGTGCTAAAGAACAGCAGTAAAGGCAGTGATGACTATGACAGTGTTTAAAAAGGAGCGATGTTGACCTTTTGAATTGGGTGAGAGAAGACGCGGTATCTCAACAGCTGAGGCGACTGGCAGAGGATGACGCAAGCAAGACGGACACAGATTCGAGTCAGAGTGATGTGCTCCTGCCTGCTATCTCAACAACAGCAGAAAAGGGCAGCATGTAGAAGGAAAGAGAAGAAAAATTATGTGAGCACGAGGTCGTTTAATGCTCGCCTGTTATCGCATATTGCATTGTCATTTGCCCATAAAGGAAGCGCTTTCGTGGGACAGCACGCAACCCACCTTACAATCTTCATGCGTGTTTTGCGCAAGCTACAATATTTCTTTTACCGTGAGTTGCCGCCCAAGTTAAAAGTTGAAGGTGACTGCAATTGTGCATGGGTTCACTACATTTCCTTCAGATGTTTATGCAAAAAATATCGCAGTCGAAACAAGTGTGTTGTGGAGTTGAGCAGGATGTTTTCCGTTTTAAGCAAAAAATCAAACAAAATAGATGGTACTTATCGTTGTGTTGTTTATTAAAGGACGGTAACTATAGTTGATGAAAATTACACAAATATTACAAGTACCACGACATAAAACACTGCACTACGAATCAAGCCATGAAGATTAAAAGCCAGTAAAAGCGGTAAGATAGTAAGTATACTAGGGCAATTTTTTAATTATCCGAAGGCGCTCGAGCCGTCGTGTCGACTAGTTGTCAATTCTGCGTAGTAGCCTTACCGCGGGTGGCAAACTATTTTGTACGACACTATGAAGGTGAGATTCATCTTCGCCCTGCAGTTTTGCTTCTTTCCTGGGGGATCCGCAATCCTCTTTGTCTGCTCGCTTCGGAGTATCTAACGAAGGCCGAACCACTGTAGTGAGAGAATGCTTTAGAGTCTCACGAATGATTGGCTCGTGGACACAGAAGTCAGTTGCCCGCAAGCCAGCCTTCTTGAAGCGATCTTGCAAGTCTCGTTGAGCCCAAAGAGTCTGGAGAAGAAAACGCGCGAAACGAACCGTCTTATCTCGGTTAGAAGGGATTGGATCCGTGGGATCAACGTAAAGACCCGTGTGTGCGATTGCTAGGCAGGGCTGAACTCCTCCACAATCGAGAAACAGTCTAAAAGATTCCCACAATCAGCCACAAATTGGGATACATGAGATTATTGAAAACCACAATCGTCCTGCAATAGTAATCAGCGAATGAGGTAGTCAAGCCCTTACAATCTTTTCAAATATTTATTGCGCAACTCTACCAACCTAGGCTTGCTTATCCCCTATACACCTAACTCAGTCAGTGCAAAAAATAATTCATGAAAAGGAAATGTTTACTAATGAGGCGGACGTATGCGATAGAAAGCTACAAATTTTTAACCATGAAGCTGATCACACTTAAATAGGAATTATTTAGCACAAATCGGATGTTGACCTAGACACTGTGTAGTGAAGAAAGTCAAGTGACTGTATTTTAGGCAAGACATTGGATATAACACCACCTCAAAGGCCTGTCAGGCAAAACTGACAGCATGGTGTCGGGAAAGTAGAGGAAGCATAAACCCACAATTTCCAGGCTTCACATTGAGTGGTTTGAAGGTGGAAATGGCGGTGATTCAGAGTGCTGAAAAAAATACAGTAACGGCTTCTCTCAAAGAAGCATTAAAATAGCACAGGTTCTAAAATGGTTTGCTCCTCCATTGCAGAAAGGAAAATCCTGAAGGCAGATAAGAAACTTAACTTTCATTTTAACCACCCTTACAGTGCAGAACTAGTGCTGTGCAAGCAGGATTTATTTTCACTGAAAAACGGTGCTATTCAAAGGTTGTTTCTCACCTACTAATGTAGAGAATGGGTGAAGTCTCCAAATCAAACCATTGAAGATATTGAAATAGTTGAATGACATAATGTTTGGACACAGATAAATCAGATAGTCTCCAAGTGCCTAGTCTTGCTCATATTAGGTAAAGCAGCTGTGCTGTCCATCAAACGTCATTGACAGATTCAACATTTGTAAGACATCAACATTGTGTGCGGTGAGTGAAACCTCAGTACAATAAACACGACTCAATGTTGGAATTGAAATGGTAGACGCAAAAGCAGGATATAGTAGAAAAACTTCTGCTCTAGTGATCAGTACCTAAGTACAACAATATAAAGTCGTAGGATCAAACTTTTGAACGCACTACCGGTCCCCCTCCTTGTTTGATTGGTATAACGTCTCGATCTCCTGACATTCACTCTGTCAATACTGCAACCAAAGATATGCTGGGAGATGGCTCAGATTTATAAGCCCCTATCGATGTGAGAGAAGGAGAGTAGAGTACTCACAAGGCACGCTCAGAGTCAGCTTTGACAAGGACGTAGAGGGCGGCAAGGATGGCAGAAGCGGTGTGCAGACTGACAATGCTATGAGTGGGTACGACGATTTCCCCATCGATAGTGCTGGCCGCTTGCAGCACCGGTAAACGTGCAATCAAGAGACGCATTCCATAAAAAGCTACTAAACTCCGCAGGCTCTCCTCTTCCGCCACATTTCTCAGCGCAGTTGCAGTTGTTAAGACAACGCTGTCATCTTCCGAAATCAATGGAGCCGCCAGAACCAGCACGTTGTCGCCGGTGCGAAACTTAACAAGGCAAGTGGAGACAAAGTTGTCTTTAAGGAAGCGCTTTGCGTAAAAGAAGTTGGGCAAAATTAATTGTCTCACAAAGGAGCGAACTTCCGCACTGGGTTCCCAGTCACAAGCTGTGAGATTTTGTATGGCACCAGCAGTTGCCTCCAAAATAACAAGGTTCGTTGAGTGGCGAAGTATAGAAATATAGTTTTCGATCAGGTCTTTGGCCCAAAGCAACCGGCTACCTTGAATCGACTCCAAGTTTGACGGTGGCCTATCCAGATAATCTGGTCCTCCGCCCATCCATATATTAGCCGATGGTGTCTTCCTCAAATCTAAGAACACAGAGAGGTGGAAAACTATTTAAACTGACGTCAAACCCTTCTTGTTCGCATTCTAGGGAACTAAAACAGAGTAAATGTAAAGTAACATTACCGCATCCAGGATGAGAATCGCTGCAAAAGAAAATGGTGCAAAGAGAAACGTTGAGTTTTAAATCTCAGTGTAAAATACGAGCAGTAGCAATCTAAAACGAAAGTAATCTTCCAGAAACTTACTCATCACGATACCACGTTGATGTCCTTTCAGAGCCAGGTGTGGATGCTTAAAAGCAAGTCGGTTCTCAGCTATAGGAGTAATAGCTGCAACGGAATAGGCCGTCTCTCGACGCACGAGGTAGGCGGGATCGCGCACCTCTTGCAGGGCGAAACTTAGATTCCGCAGAATACACACGCAATTCTCCAAAGCCTTGCCATCAAAAT